TTCATCAAGCACAACAAATGTTCTATCACTAAAGCTTAGTATGTACATTGAGAGCTTATGCGCCGGAGACAAATTCCTTGTCATACTTGCCCCCCCAATTGAATTCTATTCTATTCTATTCTATTCTATTCTATTCTATTCTATTCTATTCTATTCCATTCCATTCCATTCCATTCCATTCCACTCCACTCCACTCCACTCCATTCCATTCTATTCTATTCTATTCTACCCTATTCTATCCTATCCCATCCCATCCCATCCCACTCCTCTTGATCAGGAGCCCAAGACTTAAACAACAAGGTTCCGTGGTCTGAAAAAGTTTGAGTAGCTCTGTCCTACACCATCTTGTCTTGCTTACTTTTCCCTGTTCCTTGCCTTTTTCTTGCTAGCTCCTTCCCCAGCTAGCATGCTGACTGGGAATTTTGGGAATTGAAGCCCACCTATCTTACGCTAGCTAAGATTGAGAAACACTTTCTATACAATCAAACCAGAAGAGAAACAATCCCCTCATCCCATCCGGAAGGTGGTGTGAAGTATCTCTAGATTAGAAGACAATGCCAATTAATGGCAACAGTGAAAGGAAAGATGGCAAAAACACTGAAAATTAACCTCTGGGAATCGCTTGACTCAGATACACGTGTCGCAAAATCTGGAACTAATAGAAATTATTTGCTCTCTAACAACGGACAGCACACTGGTGCTCCAATATTGCAAAGGCAGGGTTGCTTAAGATATGAGAAGGTATAGGATTTCCTCATGTTCAATTCTGAACGTAAACTTTCTATGGATTTTTTGTAACCTGGATATCTTTTAACAGCAGAGAAGAAAAGCATCTCTCTAGTAGTTTTAACAACATATATAAACAAGAAAAACCTTTATGTGCACTTTCCCAACAGGATGTAACCACTGGCAATGCGTATCTGCATATAAAACTTTCGAAATGCCAGAAATGTATTTTTATAGGACAAAGTCCAACCAAATTTATACCATAGGCCTATATTTGATTAAGGCTGCATGTGCTTTCCATAACAAATACATTCTTGTTCTCACATAGGAGGGAAAACATACTTTTTCATTTTTTAACATTTTCTTTTAGGAGTAAAAAAATATGAATGCTCCATCTGCCTGGGGAAAAATGTTTTTTAAACGCAATGACACCGCAAATGAAAGCAAATTACAGAAATCATTAAATCAGGGGAGTTTCTAACCACTTAGGAAAGGAAAGGCAGCAAGCAAACTAATGCTCTATCTCAGTGGTTCTCAACCTTTTTAATGCCACGACCCCAACCGGTCGTAAGTCGAGGACTAAACCGGTCGTAAGTCGAGGACTAAACTGGTCTAAGTCGAGGACTACCCAACCAGTTGTAAGTCGAGGACTTTCCCTGCCCGGGAGCGCTGCGCATGCTTGGTTCCGCCCCCTGCGCCGGCCGAGGCGTAGCTGGCAAGCGGCAGAGACGGAGCAGGCCAACCACCAGCTGGCCCAGCCCAAGGGAGGTAAGGCACCCGCTGGAAAAGGGAAAAAAATGGCGGACAAAAAAAATGGCGGACAAAAAAAAATGGCGGACAGCCTTGCTTGGCGACCCCCGTGAAATGGTCGATCGACCCCAAATGGGGTCCCGACCCACAGGTTGAGAACCACTGCTCTATCTGAACCACAGAGCTGAACTGCACCTTGGATAAATCAAGAACGTGCTAGATAGTCTAGAGAAACCAGGTGTTTAAAATTCATTTTGGTCCCTTTGGGTCGACTCTTTTGTGCCTTCTCATTTCTGAGGCTGACCCTGGTCACAGGATGTGGATGTTTAATCTCAGGCTCATAATTTACACACAGAGGAAAGATGGACTGGCAAAAAAATTCCTGGACTGCTGCATTCTGAACACATCAGCTAATGTATATAGAAAGTCCTCGATTTGTTGTGACGGCAATTGGGATCAGAATTCCCATTGCTAAGCAAGGCGGTTGTTAAGTAGTCACGCTCAATTTTATGACCTTTTTTCACCGCAGTTGTTAAACGAATCACTGCAGTGAAGGGGAATCAACTGGTTGTTAAGCAAATCTGACTTCCCCAATTGACTTCGTTTGTCGGAAGCAGCTTGGGAAGGTTGCCAGTCATAAGTCACTTTTTTTCAGGGCCATTTAAATGGTGACTAAATGAATGGTTGTAAGTTGAGGACTACTGTATCCCTTCCGGCACATCAGCACTTTTAAGTAACTTCATGAACAACGTACTCTTAGACATTAACACACAGCTAATAGCAAAATTTACAACATAAGGCTCCAGGTCAGTACTGTTGAGGCTATCTACACTTAAAAGTAATTCAACTTTGTTTCATAAAACTGCTGAAAAACCATGGGAATTCTTTATTCTTACATAAGATTTACAGGCAAGAAGGTATAAGATTTTTGGCTGAGACCACTGAAATGTAATATTATCTGATGAACTTCAAAGATCTCGGCCTTTAAAAAAAAAAGGGTGCACCTGCATGGTGGCATCGTGGAATATCTTGGGTGTCTTAAAAAGTCACAGGGTTTCTGCTCTATGCATCCAATCAAATAAATTCCTTTCTTAAAGATAAATGGAGCCTACCGCTTGGAATCAAATCTTTCTAAACTGGTTAACTATCATATAAATATTCCAGCTATGTAAATAAATTAATAATGAGGTTTAAGACGGTATGCTTTCCACAGAACAACTATCAATGCTAACTGTATATCAGCAACAGAGAGGCAATTTGATCTAGTGGTTAAAGCACCAGGTTAGAAAATTAAGAGTTCTAGTCCTGCCTTAGTTAGCTGGATGATTTTGAGCCAATCATTCACTCTCAGCCCTACTTACCTCACAGGGCTGTTGTGGGGAAAATAGGAGAAGGAAGGTGTGTTGAATATGTTTGGCAACTTGAGTTGAGAGAGATTTAGGCTTTTAAAAAAATCAGAAACAAATGCATTATGAACACCTTCATTTAAGATATCATTTGAGTGACTATTAATATATATATTAATTATGTGGAGATCCTATATTTGTCAACCAAAAAGATATTAAGAGGGGAAAAATCTGCCCTAAAAAACATCAGAAGGAGAAATATTTGAACAAATATTATTTCTGCTTGCCTTCTCAGAAATATAGGTTTAAATGGAGATCTTTGCCAAGATACTGAATTTGAGGATCTGGTGCAGCTTAAACTGGCTCTTACTATAATTTGGTTCCAAGAAGCCTCCTTCCACATCAGCCATAACTTGGCATCTGAAAAGAAACTCATTCTGCCCCTTGTGATATATTTGATACCTGTAATGGGTGATTTGGTCCAGATGCAACCTGCCCTGAGACCGTTTTGGGATTAAAAAATCATAGGAGAAATAAATTGTGATTGTAGTGTAAAGGTGTCTATGATATACGTTTGCAATATGTGTCAAGAGAATGCTTGCATCAAAGATTTCCGAAAAAATACAGTGGGGAATGACTGTATTTCATGGAAATATTGTCTATTTATCAAAAGTTGTATTACTGTATATAAAAAAAGCTAGAAAGAGTTGCAGCAACATATAGGTTAAAGCAAGCTCACTACACATTTTTCTACTTAAGGATTTCAATTCCTTTTGAAATACTAACACATATGATATCCATACTACAAAGTTAAATTGCCTTACCGGTCAGGTCCCTTCTCAGTTACCTCTGAGTTCTGAGGGAGGGAAACTAAGAATCCTTAAGTAATTCCTAACAATATCAATGAATAACAATCCTTGGGATCTATTAAAGGGAGACCATGATAGTGATCTTAAATGAATTAGGGTTGTAACGATAAACATCCTGACCTAACTGTTGTACCCATTGCTCATAGGTAATGATGAGATCAGAGTTGCATCCAAGTGGTGGAATATAAATAACATGCTATCAAACTGTCTCTTTCTTAGAAGGTTCTTTGCAGTAAGAAAAAAGATGCAAAGAACTTCAGAAAACACTGGACAGTTATAAATGGAAGATAGGATTGTACGAAAAACTCTGTAAATTTTTTGGAATAAGGAGAGGCAAATGCATAGGAGAAAACTAATCACGAAATAAAGCCCACTTATATATATGTTAAATATAATGCAGATATTAGATTAAAAAATCTAATCTAATCGGGAACTGACAAGTATTCTTAAGCATTCTTGTAAATCTAACCTGCCCTAGCCTGAATAATCTTTAAAGATTTTCTGAGCGTCGTGTAGATTGTGACCTTAATCTAGAGTTAGAAAGTCAGAAAAGCTGTTCCAGAGCCATCTAATTCTTCCAATTTGATAACAGTTTTAACACTTGTCTTAGTTGTTGTAAAACAACTACTTTTAGAATGCAACCATCTATCTCTCATTTCTGCAAAGAGTAGAATGGACCAATTTTACGAAGCTCTCTGTACTGTAGAGCAGAAACTCTCTACCCAAACTGCATGTAAATAATGGTATATTTCTAAAATGGTAGAACTGGATCAATTTTCCTTACCTATTTCAAAAACTCCTTCTTGATGTTTTAAAATACTTTCTGTATCAATTGCAAATGAGGTGAACAGCTGAACTAGAAACTCTTTCCATTAAGGGCCAGTTTTTTACTCAGTATATACAGTATGGCAAAATTTTACATAATATTTTTCCTCCACTCTAAAAATATAAAGATCTAGAGCAGAACTAAACCTGGTTTTTTTTTTACAGTTTCCCCAATAGATGATTATGTTCCAACAATTGGGGGCCTGGGGATTTTGTAAATTATAGTCCATCATATCTGGAGGACCTCAAATTAGGAATGAATGTCCTAGAAATTTTAAACAACTAAGATGTAACTCAACCAATTATCTGCTCCTGTAGAACCATCTCTAACACATCCATTAGTATGACAGACAAAATAATGTATTTTGAAAAAAAAATGCCATTAGACATTATAAAGAAGAATGCATGAAAATAAAGGAAAATCAAAATGTGGTATGTGTGTGTGTGTGGGGGTGTAATAATGATAAAATTAGTATTTTATTACCTCTTGTTGTACTGCACAGCTTCTCCATTCTTCGCCCAAGTAATGATAGGCCTTGGATTTCCAACAGATTCACAGTGAAGAAGTACGCTTAATGTCCCACTGGCTAGAACTACAGTGTGTCCCAAATGGGTCACAACTTCGGATGCGGATAGTTGTTGTGCTGCAGAGATCTTCTTCAAGATGGCAGGTTTCTTATGAGGCCCACGTGAACCATTTATGAGTTCTAGAGATGTGGACAAGTGGGCTTCGGAGGAAGATGTTCTCAACAATCTGTTAAACTCAGAAAAATGCTTAGTGAATGGAAATTCCACTGAAGCGGAACTGACTTGCCTTCCCTGGGTTTTGAAAAAAGACTCCTGATGTTCCAAATGGCTCTTGAAAATTTCATGGGCCAGCTGGGAGATAAGCTGCTTGCTATAGACATCCTTAAGTTCCTCTGGCTGTTGAGACAAATTTTTTAAGATGTCGTCTAAACGATCCTGATTGGCGACCATGGTGAAAGGCAGGTTGTAATCCTGACCCTGGTCTTCTTCCGAAGAAATATTTCTCTCTGTGGAGTCCTGAGCTTCCCATGGCTCTATACTAACCCGAGGCCAGCCTCTGTATTCCAGAAGCCTTGAGACAATGTCATCATACCGGTGGCTAGGATCAGAGGCAAGTCCTCGTTTTTCAGTTTTGCTCCCATTGAAGAAAATTTTATTCTGATGCTTCTCCTGGCCATGCAAAGCTTCATTCAGACTGACCTTCCTTGAGGATTCTTCGTCTTTTATCCTAGATGACAAGGTGGCCGTACATTTGTTGTGGCCTCCTATGAGTTTAATCACAAAATGTTCCTGAGCTGGTCCTGCTGTGCAAGTATATGTACCGGTATCGGAAGGCTTTAATCGATGGATCTTCATGTAGCCATAGGGCGCAATGGTAACGTGAACGGAGCTGATGAGTCGTTTGCCATCTTTCTCCCACGTGATCATTGGTTTCCGGAATCGTCTCACAGGACATCGAAGAATGACAGAAGTCTTGGGCAACAAGTAGGCGTATCCACCAACAACAAAATGCAACTTCTTTTGCTTTCTTGTCTGGATAAAAACTTTCTTTTGAGCCAGTATCAAAGGGGATTGCTTGTGAGCTGGTCTCTGGTCTCCTGAAATGTTAGTAACATTATTAGGATATGGTGCCACATCACATTTGCATGTTCAACCTAATTAACTAAAGGAGACTAAAGGATTAAAGAATTCTTTTTCCTTTCCATTAATGCTTCTGTGCTGTCCCCATGTATGTGTTTCCCGCAGGGACTCCATATCACTGATGGGTGATGCCTATAAGGGTGTAGCACGACACCCCACCATATGGTCTGCAATGTAGGACATTTAATGGGGAGGTTACTACAGAAAAGTTGAGTCTAGGATGTCATTTGCACGGGCATCTGCAGAGGGGCCATAAAATGAAGCTTCCAACTCACCAAACCAAACAAACATCTTTCTTTTGGAATTAAGTGAAATTTCACTTCTGATAATTTACTGAAAATAAGAGATTTATTCAACCGATGCTGAGGCCTCACCCTTCAGAAGTAACATGAGCTAAATAAATTTGATCCCTTTGGGGTTCAAATTCAGAATCAGCAGTCAGACTTAATTAAAGGAAAAGGAAAAAAAACTCTAGTTCTTGTTGTTAAACGTCTTTAAAGGGAAGAGCCAATATAACATAAAGAGCATACAACATAAATGCAGAACTCTTCTTGTTAAATCATTCCAACCCTTAGGCCACACAGGTGGAAACTGAAGGACAAAGGAACAAATGAAGTACAATCTCAAGGGAGTAATCTGAGGGGGTCCTTGGTGCTCTCTGAGCTTGGCTGTTTTTTTGCAGACATTTCATTACCCAAACTAGGTAACATTATCAGTGCACTGCACTGATGATATTACTTAGTTTGATAATAAATCATCCTCAAGAAAACAACCAAGTTCAGAGAGCACCAAGGACCCCACAGTTCAACCCTGAGCTATAAAAATTCCCTTCTATTGGAGTAATAGGAAGCAGAACAAAATCTACTTAGAGCAAGCTGAGGATCCCATGATGGATAATATCAACACTTCATCGATTATACAGAGATCCTGAGTATACAGCTCTCTTCCGGACAACTGACTCTGAGGGTATATCATGGAAGTAAAAATAACTATTTCTCGCCACAGAGTAAGTTTAACATTAAATGTTTTATAATGCAACCAACCTTAATTGTTGATTAAAAAAAACATTTCATATGAAGTTTTAAGATGCTTTCTCACCAAGTTGCTTTTTTTCTCATAATAGTTTCCACAGTAGACTACTTATTACATATATGATCTGGGCTATTCTGTTTGCATGCAAAAACACAGCCCACCCCTCAAAATAGATTTAATGGACATCAATACATTTTCAGAACAGCACAGATTTAAGTATTCATTAAAGAGAAAATAGAGATAGATCTCCCTATAAAGAGAGCAGAGACCGCCAGAAAAACAATCACCACTTTCCCCCCTCTTAAATAATGTGTACACTCAATAGCAAACTATTAATCTAATCACCCTAAGCCTCTAATTATTTCAAATTCATATCTTCAGATACGGATATTCAAGATTGGATTCATTTCAAAGTTGCTTTCAAAATTACTCCCAATTCATAATCAAGCTCTCATTTAAGATGAGAGAAGGAGACAATGCATAGAGAATGATCATATGAATTATTGGGAATGTGCAACACTTCAGATGTCAAGTCAAAAAAGTGCTTTGGGCATGAATACACACATCTTTTATAAGTGCCTCCTTAAGAAGGCTGCATCGTTTTCTAGACTTGTGCTGTAGCCTCCTGATCCCAAAGAAATGCATGTTTGATTTAAGGTAATGCTAATAATGCCTATTCCAAAGCGCCTTGCACTGCATATCCATATTAACTATAATATTTAAATTAAACCAAATTTCTGTGCTGTGCTGCTTTCATCTACTTCCTTGACTTGACCTTGCCCATGTTTTGGACTGCAGCCATTCAACTGAAAGAGAGTGAATACTCAAGATTTAAATGAATGTATAAATCACATTACTCTGGTACTGTCCTGCTATTAATGTTAATAATTACAGCATTATGTTATACTTCTCCAAACTATGCCCCTCTAAATGTTTTGCCTTGCATTTCCTTAGCCTCCATGTATTTTCTTTGACCAGGAAATTGTCCCAATCTTCCCAATTCCCTTCCAGATCTTCTTCTATACTCACTTGCACAAGTCATGAGCACACATGGCCTGACCAAGGAGGAGAGTGGCAGAGATGGGCACAGTGATGAGTTCTCAATGGCAGAAAGTCCAGTATTCAGCATTTTCCTACAAATGGCATTTCGTGTCTGGGTTCCCTCTCCACAGCTAACAGAACACTGGGAACAGAACAACAGCTGTTTAGGAATTATTAAATGTTAATTAGTTACTACCTGTTATCCCTGGAGTTAACTCTGGCTCAACCCCATCCCAACCCAATGCTTGGGGGATGAGCCAGATTTTCATGACCCTCCGGAAGGCTAAAAGAGTAGGGATTTCCTTGGATCTCAGATGGGAAGTGTTCCAAGCATCTGGGACGTCACCAAGAGAGTGTATCTGTGGTAGAATGTAGTCTGGATTCTCAGGAAGGAGGGGCTGCATTCCACCAAAGGATCTCTGAAGTCCCATCAGGTGGCAAGAGAGTGGACCTGGAGTGCACCCGCCCTATGTAGTAGGGTAGGGTGATACCCTCAAGGAAGTGCAATCAGCAAGTAATTTGGTCCTGGGCTTTGTAGGTCTTTAAAGGTGATAACCAGCATCTTAACTTGCACCCAACTGGAAGCTAGTGTACCTCACACAGCAGTGACTCAGATAACTGTGGGGCACCTAAAACTGTGTGTACCACTGCATTCTGGATCAGTCAGAAACAGTGCAAATGTAGGGAGTTATCCTGGACTCAGAACTTCTCCTCACAGTGGTGGCACTGGTGGTTAGGAGGGCTTTTATAGAACTCCAGCTTGTATACCAATTGTACACGAAGCTGAAGCATCAAACACTCTTTACATCTTAGTTACTCCCAGATGGCCTATTGCAATGCATTCTTCATGAGGCCACCCTTAAATAATGCAGTACAAGTGGTTATAGGTCACAATGGGCCATATAATATGTGAAATGCACAAACTCTCAGTACTATAGGCTGTCAGTGCTATTCAAGGTACTGGTTATGATTATAAAGCCCAATATAGCACAGGATTGAATTATTTGCCAGACCACCTATGTGTGATCCTTGGTGCTCTCTAAGCTTGGTTGTTTTCTTGCAGGTGTTTCATTACCCAAACTAGGAAACATCATCAGTGCACTAACGATGCACTGATGATGTTATCAAGTTTGGGTAATTAAACATCTGCAAGAAAACAATTACACTCAGAGAGCACCAAGGGACACCCCCCCCATTTTAACTCTGAACTGCAAATACCCCCCTTTATTGGATCACATGTCTACCCACATGCTATAACATGCTCCAAGTCCCTTCCCCAGAGCAATGTCATCTGATGGGACTTAAGATATGTGTCTTCTCAGTTGCAGCACCTACCCTTTGGAAAGATGTTTCCCCATCTCCCCAAATCAATTGTCCCCAACCCTGCTAGTCTTTAGGAAAGCTTCAGAAGTTTGTTTTCCCCCCAGGCATTAGGCCAGGCTGATGCGCTAGATGAGCCTGTCTTTGGGAGGTAGATTCTGTGTTGATGGGCCCTGATTATATGCTTTGTTTTTGTTGATTGTATTGGTTTGAAATGTAATTTTGGGTTTTCATTTGGTTTTACTGAGTTGTGATCACACAAATTGGGTGGCCTTATAAATCTAAATAAATAAAATAAATATTTAGAAGAGGAGGATCATAAACCCAGAAGTTGGAATGTGGGAAAAAGAAATGAAATATTCCCAGGTGTGGAAGAAAACAGTTTGTTATCTAAAAAATTGAGTAGCATAGATTCCCATGTATACCTTGAATGATTAAAAGCAAAATAATGAACACTGCCTGAGGAATAGACAGATGCCTATTTACCTCAGAAAGAGTACATGTTCTAACAACAGATTTACCTAGATAATCTATTTATTTGGCTGGGCTGTCAGGCTAGATCATCATACATTAGTTAAGCTTGTTACATTGTGCACATCCATCCTAGCATGAATATAATGTTTTTCAACAACCAAATTAATTGCCTGCTTCTTGGACGAAGGACAAGTGGAAAGACATGAACAGGAGAAAGAGGAAAAGCCATACTTAGTTAAGGATCATAGGTCAGCAGAATATAATTCACATTAAAAAGGCATGTGGATTAGATAGCAATAATATACTAGACTAACAGAAAGTCTAAATATTCTTCTGAATATTCTAAATATTCTTAATTTTGCTCTAAAGTTCGGGCACACAGACAAAAAATGCAATGTTCAGTCAGACTGGCAGAGCCCTCCCCCAGCCTTAATATTCTTACACTGATCATGGATTTCTAATGATGTTCCAGCAAATATTCCTTGGAATTTTATCAGGGGCAGTCATAGTTGAAAGATCAATGATAACAGAAATGTCTCACTTACTAGTCCACTGAAATTTAATATAGCAGAAGCATTGAATTTATTCTAGATGGTGTTCTTCCTTAGTGCAGTACAACACTGAGGCCTACTAAATTTAGTCTAGCATGAAAACCCTATTGTGACAATCTGTGTAACTTTTTTTATTGTTAGTCTTCTCTAGTTTTATAATACAGAATAATTTCAAAAAATAACAAAATACCCAATGGCTTAATTTTTTGACTGTGGATCCTATGGTTACAGTGGATTCAGAGGGGTTGTTTAAGTTTGCTATTTACCAACTGCAGTCCAAATTCTGGAAGACTCTCAGAGTGATGTCTAACGTTGGTTTCCATAGGTGGCTTATTCTATAGATTCATTACACTATAGCCTTATTAGCAATAATGTTACCTGGCATAAATGGGTCAGCCCAAAAGAGTCCAAATCCAATAATAAGAAAAAAAATCTATTCTCAATTATAAATAAACAGCTGTCTTTATACCTGTCATAAATCTACTCTAGAGATTACAAGACTTTAGTGAGAAATACTACCTTGACAAAATTATAGTATCAATAAATAACATTTAGGTTGAGCAAAGAGAAGCTTTGGTGTACAGAAAATCCAGATTCTATTTGTACTGCTACTTCCTACCTGTGTCCAATCTGAGAGGAGCCATTCGGGGGGACAGTCCTTATTTTTGCAGGCTTGTTGGGAAGTTGGCCGTGAAGCGGAACAAAAAGTTTCCGGAAGTTCTAGAAAGCTTCCATCAGCCATGCGCTGTTTGCAGAGCACTTCCCGTCTCTCAATGCCACCTCCGCATGTCTGTGAACACTGGAGAACATTTGCAGCTTATGAAACTTACGAGCTTGAAAACATGAGCAGCAAGGGGCTTCCACCAATTGATTGGCATCTCATAGAAGTTAATGGGTTTCTCCAAACTGCATGTGGAAGAGCATGCCTTATGATAGAAATACTAATGAAAACAATTAGGGCAGTGGTTCTCAACCTTTTTAATGCCGCGACCCCCAACCAGTCATAAGTCGAGGACTAAACCGGTCGTAAGTCGAGGACTAAACTGGTCGTAAGTCGAGGACTAAACCGGTTGTAAGTCGAGGACTATCCAACCGGTCGAAAGTCGAGGACTTTCCCTGCCCGGGAGCGCCGCGCATGCGTGGTTCCGCCCCCTGCGCCGGCCGAGGCATAGCTGGCAAGCGGCAGAGACGGAGCAGGCCGACCACCAGCTGGCCCAGCTCAAGGGAGGTAAGGCACCCGCCGGAAAAGGAAAAAAAAATGGCGGACAGCCTTGCTTGGTGACCCCCGTGAAATGGTCGATCGACCCCAAATGGGGTCGCGACCCATAGGTTGAGAACCGCTGAATTAGGGGATTGGAACAAGGAAAGGGACTTTTAAAAAGTGTTCGGGGGCAGGTTTTTAATATGTATTCCAGATTTTATAAAGACCTTTCTCTTTGATAATAAAACAAAGGCTGAAAAAGATGTAATAATAGAAACATTTTTGGGCCACTTTCTGTTAAAGAGATGCTATATCCATTTTCTTTTGGAAAGAAGGCAAAAGGGAAAGACATAAATAATGGCTGAAAACAAGATTGGCTTTCCAATTTTTTTTAAAAAAATGTTTCTAATTAAAACCACAGACTTGAACAGGCAAAACATTAAACCTGTAGAGCATTTCCAGGGGCCAGTGATCTGTAGTATTTGTGCATATATGCGTGTGTGTGCATTGCAGTGTCTGTCTTTTTTCCATGTTTGTTGTGACAGCATGCACCTTCCCGAAGGGGTGGAATGTGTACAGTAGTTCAATGCTGTTTCCTTATTCTGCTAAAAGCAGCAAGATGTTGTGGATTACACTGACAAAAACTCTCCTGCCCGAACATTAAAACTTTAGAACTTTTAGATAGACTTTCTTTGAAAGAATTCAAAGGCCTCACTAATATTTCTGGATAAAATAATCAGTAGATAAAAGTGGATGTAAGATAGGAATTTGCTGGATGGGAATTTTATCAAATCAGCAAAAAGAACCAAATAGGGTTTTTACCTGTGGACAGTGGGCCAGAAATCAAAGCATAAATGGAATTTATAATTCTAAGATTAGTATTCCTCCCATTTCCAGCCACTAGCAGATACAGGTAGGTTTTTCCCTTGGGAACTGGAATTTACCTGTTGCCATTCTTGAAGGTACCAAGATGGAGGACAGTCAAAACGGTTGCAGGCTTGTACCCCAGTAGGCTTGGGTCTGTGACACAGCTTATCCTCCAAAGTCACTGTCTCATTAGTCTCTCTTGAGAGGAGATGAGTGCAGAAGACCTCGCGGATTTGCAATCCTACACCGCAAGTGAGACTGCAAGAGCTCCATTTTCCCATCTCCCACCTGAAAGGAAAGCCAAGAAAAAGATTCTGAAGGGAAACAAAAGATGTCCCATAATTATGCAAAAAATATTTCTGGTTTGATTCTGATTCTGTGCAAAAAACAAAAGTAAAAACACTAGGTTGAATCCAGATTAAAATTGTATCCTCCGTGTTTCTTATCTGGTAGTAAATCCTGTGGATGTCACTTGAGAACCATGTTCAAGTAATTTACTCTGGATCCAGAATTGAAAATACATTAATAGGTCTACTTACTTGGATTTCAAGCTCATTTCACTTTACTGTTGTGTTTTATACAGGTAGTCCTCGAATTACGACCACAATTGACCCCCAAATTTCTGTGGTTAAGTAACACATTTGTTAAGTGAGTTTTGCCCCACTTTACCACCTTTCTTGCCTCTGTTGTTAAGTGAATCACTGCAGTTGATAAGTTAGTAACACAGTTGTTAAATGAATCTGTCTTCTCCATTGACTTTGCTTGTCAGGTCGCAAAAATGACAGAACAAAGGTTAATTATGTTTTTAATTTAAAAGTAACTCAAATTAAGTCATAAAGTTACGGCTATCCCATTATTTTGGTCTTTTGCCACATTAACAGTGACAATTACATCAGGTGGAGAACTTTGTTTTCTCCGGCAAGTCCGCAATATTTATTCGATGACATTATTACAAGAAAAAAGTTTATTCTCACTGGCCTGTGTCAGAATGTTCTGCATATTCTGTATCATAGTTTTGGAAATGTTTAGATTTTCCTATCCCCAGCAGCAGAGATCTACTAAAGCAAAGGGTTATCTCCCACAATTTTATAAAACATACTGTACTGAGATATAACTTGATGATCAAATAGGATTCCAATGGTTTGCAAATAATTCTGGGAAGAGTCTAGAACAGACATGTCAAACTCGTGATGTCACGTGACGTCGTGCAATGTATTGGGACAGTTTTGCCATTGCTGGCAATGGGCTGGGCGCGGCTTCCGCATGACGCATCCGGCCACGGGCCAGCAGTTTGACACCTCTGGTGTAGAAAATAAAGGATATCCTATATTAATGGACAATGCAGCTGTTCAGAAAGCATTTCATCAATATTATTCCAATTTGTACATAGGAAGTGACATCTCTCTAGAGCAGGAGTCCCCAACCCCCAGGCTCTGGCCCAGTACCGGGCCATGGAAATGGTGGGCAAGCATGTGCATGCGCAGTTCCATTTATGCAAGTGGTGGACATACGAGCCTGCCACTTGTGCAAATGGAGCTGCACACCTGCATGCTCGGCCATGTGGAACAATTCTCCCCCCAGTCTGCAAAACCGGAAAGGTTTTGCTCTAAAGAAAACCAATAAAGAAACAAATTTACTGAGAATTACAGAGTAACAAAAACAGAGCAGAACCATATGAACAGAACTATAAAAATAAAATTTCTAAAAATATAAACTTGATATCTGATTATGATTAAATAACAAGTTCTTATTTCTGGTGCTGCTTAATGGTTATTTGGATCGGATAATTTTTCTTTTGGAAAGGTATAATTGTGTAACAAATTATTTTTTGACATCTAAATAAGGAGTTATGATTTCTGGTGATGTTTAATAGTTTTAAATTCTTTTTTGGCAATGTTTAATTGTCAAGACGGAGGAGGGGAGCTTAGACTAAATGGGAAAGGAAATTATATATTTAGGTTATTAAGTATTTTTTGATAATTTTTACTGGATCTTTGCTAATTATTAAGGAGAGCTGAAGATTTAGAAATGAGTTTATAAAAATGGGGTGAGATATGTAAAGAAGCGGTATTTGGTTGTATTTTAAGATACAGTAATAACTTGTTAATACTGGATATATTTGTTGGGAATGAAAGAAGTTTTTTCTTATATTTTGTCTTTCTGGTTTTGGGGAGGGAGGTCTATACTTTTTAAACATTTTTTTTCTTTTCTATGTATTTTTGTACCAAGTTTTTGTATTTGTCTTATCTGTTTAATATAGTCCTTAATAAAAATATTATAAAAAAACCCCCAATAAAGTATGTTTCTGAAGCTATAAAAAAGATTAAACTGGGAAAGGCGCCTGGACCAGATCGATTATCAGGTTCTTATTATAAATATTTTGAGGATGAACTATTATAACCTTTACAAAACATGATGAACTCTATTCTACAGGGAGGAAAAATGCCAGAGAATTGGAAAGAGGCCAGTAAAGCATTAATACCCAAAGAAGGACAAGATTCAACTTTAACAAGAAATTATAGGCCAATATCATTATTAAATAATGACTACAAGTTTTTCGTAATGATTCTAACTGACAGAACGAAAACAATTTTTCAAGAATTTATTCATGAGGATCAATCTGGGTTCTTACCTAAAAGATAGATAAAGCACAATGTTAGAAATGTGTTGGACGTTTTGGAATATTTGGAGAAATGTAAGAAAAAGCAACAAGCTTCATGCCTCTTTTTGGATGCAGAGAAGGCTTTTGACTATTTGAACTGGGCTTTCTCGTTCAAGGTTTTGGAAGATTTGAATTTTGGACAGAATTGTGTAAAATGGGTATTTTGTATTGGTTTTGATTTTCCCTTTTAAAATATGTACATGTATGTATTTCAGTGGAACTTTAAAAAACTGCCTGTTCAGACAACCATAGATGATATATGCTCACTGCAGCTGGTTCAATCCAAGATGACTTCTTCAAAGTCCAAGATAGTCAAAAAGAAGGGGGGGGGGAAAGATCAAGCTCTCCATAAAACAAATTAAACAACCGATCATGAATAATTCATAAAAATATTACAAGAACTGTTAACATACTTTTATATATCAAAACAAAAACTTATACAAGTCGCCCTCGACTTACGAGTACAACTGAGCCCAAAATTTATTCTGATAAGTGAGACATTTGTTAAATGTATTTTGTCCCATTTTACGACTTTTCTTGCCACAGTTGTTAAGTGAATCCCTGTTAATAACATGGTTGTTAAATGGATCTGGCTTCCCCATTGACTTTGTCAGAAGGCTACAAAAGGGGATCGCATGACCCCGAGACATTGCAACTGTCATAAATATGAGTCAGTTGACAAGCGTCTGAATTTTGATCATGTGCCCATGGGGATGCTGCAATGGTCATAAGTGTGAAAAATGGTCACAAGTGACTCTTTTCAATGCTGCTGTAACTTTGAACAGTCACTAAAACCAACTGTTATAAGCTGAGGATTACCTGTATAAGTGTTTTTTTCTTTTAATCGTAACTCAAAATGTCTCAGATTGTATGCAATTTCTTTCCTTTGAATTCAGTATTGACTTCACATGCTGGGGAATTACAGTTTCATAATTTTTCAGCATTACCAGTTTACAACAGTTCAGATACAAATACAATAATACTGGGTGATATGTTGTTTTTTTTCTTTCTTTTTCTGAAAAAAAGCAGCTGCTTTACACATTTCCATGGAAAGCATGGAACGACCAGGTATTCTCATTTAATGAAGCTGTGCATAGATCAAAAGTTTAAAATAGCTGAATAATGAATGGCAGCATCAATTGGAATTTTACAGCTCCTTGTGAATTCAAAAGTCACAAAGCCAGCTTACAAGCAATTGAACAGAAGAAAAAGGAAAAGGGGAGAAAGTGGAACGAAGAATGAAAAAAAAAAAAAAGGAAAGGAAAGAAGGCAAACCAGCCAGGGTAGCCTATATAGCAGTGGTGGCGATCCTATGGCACGCGTGCCAGAGGCGGCACTCAGAGCCCTCTCTGTGGGCATGCATACCACCACTGCCAGCAGCTTGCGCAGGTCCATTAGGCTGCCGCCGCCCAGAGCAGGAAAGCCAAAGGCCACCCCGAGCAAGCCAAAGCCACCCCGAGCAGGGAAAGCCGGATCCCCATCAGCGCCATCGCCCCACAGTCCCAGCTAGGATTGCGTGCCTCCCCCATCTATGCTGGGCCTCCTGCCCACCACCCCACCCACCAGGGACCCCCTGGATCTCCCCCAACCCTGCCTGGCCCCCACAGGTGTCCCCCCCATGAGCAACATCGAGGTGGCCATGCCCACCCCAGCCACGTCCACCCAGTCTGCCGTGATAACCGCAGCCATGCCCACCCAGTGGGCTATGCACCCATGCCCCCCCTTGAGGGCACCACAATGCTGATGCAGTCCTGGCACTTTGCGATAAATAAGTGGGTTTTGGGTTGTGGTTTGGGCACTCGGTCTCTAAATGGTTCGCCATCACTGCTATAAAGCATATTAGGAGAATCCCTGGAAGTACGTAAGATCCTGATTGGCTGATAGGAAAATGAACTTTCAGAGATTATTTCGCAAACTGCACAGAATAGACAGAATAATAGTGCATACGAGGCTCCAATAAATAATTTTGGCAAGGAACAAAATGTGCTGTCGTCAGCAGCTCTTAACCTGCTGCACTTGAGACAGAAAACAGCAATTTATTCTTTTCAGAGAGCCTGAAGGGCTACGAAGAATAAGAAAGATCCTTCCAGTGGAGGAGGAAATGCTCAGCAGTTTGGAAAGCAGTGATACAGATGTTGTTTTTTGGCAACTGTCTTTTCGCTTGGTAAGAGGGCTGCCAACCAGATGCTCGAATTTCAAAATGGAGACCTGGTTTTCGCAAAGTGAGTGCAGGTAGTCCTCGACTTACGTCCACAACTGAGTCCAAAATTCCTGTTGCTTTAAGCTGAGATGTTTAGTGAGTTTTGCCCCTTTCATTGACTTTGTTTGTCAGAAGGTCACAAAAGGTGAACACGTGAACTCCAGGACAACTTATAGAGATTTATGCTCAGGAAATGCCTCAAAGAAGTAAAATGGGATTTTGATACGCTGAGCAAAATCTCTCCAGCAGCTGCAGCTTGAGTATTAACCAGTGATTATTGCAGCTTCTTCTCCCATCTGTTACGAACATCAAATCTAGAAAAGTTGACCCCTTGTTTATTCTGTAACCTTCTGAAAGATGAAACAGCCAACACTGAGGAGTTTGGGGGACCCTGCATTCTTCCCTGGTTTATTTAATAAATCTCCA